ACCCTGCACGGTCGCTGCTGCTCTCTTACAGGGGCCGCCCACTGAGGCCTGCTGTCTGCATGCTGGCTTCCCGCGCCAGAACCGTCTCCCCAGAGCCTCGTGGAAAGTCTGGCACGGAGGAAGTGTTCACGAGCCGAATGCTGCTGGCCTTTCTAAAACGCCTGACATGCTCATGTGGACTTAATTAAACCAGGTTGCTGAATTCAAGGTCTTAACTTTCTGAACTTACTTGAAGAACTCCGTTTTCTCCTCTTCACTCTTCAATGTTAAACTTTTCAAGAAATTCATAACTTCTAAAAAATCATTTCTAAATGCCAAAACAGAACAAAGAGCAGACGATGGGTTAGAGATGGCATGTCACAAAGCTGTAACCACAGACAGCGTGCTACAACTTTCGACAAAGACACATCCTCCTAAGCAGCTCAAGGATTTTCTCGAGCTTAGTAGACAAATACGATGGAACACACTTATAGCAAATCTGATGTCTTAAGAATATCAGAGACCTGTAAAGAGATTAGAGGCTTAAACACACAAACATGCTTTATAGTTTTAGGTCACCATAATCTTCCAAACATTTGTTTTAACAGGTTACATGTAAATTAAATGTCCTGGGAGAAATGACAGTACCATGACAAAGTAGTCTGACTCCCAGGTCTCCTTTGTGAAGTGAAACCATTAAAGAGGGCTGGGAAAGTGGTGTTTCGGTACAGCTCTCACTTCTGCTGCTACTCGGCCAGGCTTTCAGTGAGGCAGGGACAAGTGAGAGGCGGGGTGGGTCTCCACAGGGCCGCCTGAGTCTCAGGGCGCCCGCAGGCCACGCAGCCCCACGGTCACATTCCGCCACAGGACGGGCTGCTCGGGCACACACCTGGACAGCCTGCACAGCAGGCACGGAAGCACACTACCCCGGGACTGCAGCTATGTTCACGGGTCCCGGCCCTCTGGCTCAGCAGTGGAGAAACTCTCAGATGTCTTAAATGAAATGAAAGAGGCTCAGCTTCCACCACAAGGGATGCCAGCCCCGGCTCTTCTGTCGCCTCTCGATGGGTCTTCTCGCATGTAACAACAGGGCTTCAGGAAGATGGGGCCAGTATTTTAGTAACTTTCTTTTCCTCCATTGAAAACACAATTCTTGGGGGCTGGATGGGGGCACCTTGGTAAAACACAGCGGTCTCAGGCTGATCCACACCGGGATGGCTCCGGGGCTGAGTCAGAGACCTTCCTACAGATGCCAGCTGTGCAAGGCCATGGTCCTGGGCTGGCTGGGCTGGGGTGCATCATGGGGTCAAGACCCTGTTCAAGGTACCTGTCTCGCTGACTCATGGAAGAAATAAGTAAGCAAACTTTAAAAGAAAATACAATTCTTGGGACCAGCAAATGGTGTAACAGTTACATCACTGGACTTTCACATAGTTGACCACAGTTCAAGTCCCAGACCTGGCGGTTTAAAACCACGCCAGGAGCACATGTGTGTACATGCCCAACACCCTGAGAGGAGAATGGAGGAGAAGGGACTGTAGTGTGGCCATCCCCCCTTGGGGGTGATTTCTTGCTTTCCGTCTCTCTGCATATGTCAAGTGCATGTGCCCTATAGCAAAAAAATCCCTCTTTAAAAAGAGAGAGAGAACCTCTCACAATGCGAAAGGTTTGAAACAGTTTCTTGGAAACAAAAGTGACAATTACAACCCCAACAACTATAAAGCCTACTTGCTTAGTAACAGACATTCTGTCCTAGACATCACTGTCCCTCCGCAGAAATGAGCAGTTTCCCCTTCGTTCAGGTTCTTCACTTCTCGACTGTAAATATGTAAGGGCCTTTAGTTTCAAAACAAACCTTTAGTTTTAAAACACGGCTGGCTTTGCTAACTGCTAAGCCACTAAAAGTCACAAAGATGGAACTAACCTGTGCAGAAGTTCTGCAGTCATGGAAATAAACAATGGACATGAGATTATAACTGTGCGGCAAGGTTCCGAATAAGCCGGAACCCAGGAAAGTACGAGATCATGCAGCACCCCGAGTCAGCCTCCCTGCTCTCCTGTACAACCGAGTGGACAAGACAGGCACTGCCACCTTACAAACAGATCAACTGCAACGTTCTTCACTGAAAATGACAGATACGGTATTATCCTGAATTTGACTGTCAAGCTTTGAAAATCTAAGTTGTGCCCCACAAAGACATAACAAACGTAACTAAGAAATTAGAAAATAAATTTCTAAAAAGGGGAAAAAAGCCAGCCAGTGCCATAGTGGTTAAGGTAACTGGATGGCTGGCCACATGGCTTGAATTTCAGATCTGGCAACTTGAAAAACACACTGGAGGGACTAGCAGCTGGCGTAATGGCTATGTCACTGGACTCCCATGTAGTTGACTATGGTTTGAGTCCCAGATCTGGTGGTTTAAAACTCACCCAGGTGCGTGTGCGTGTGTGCCCAAAATCCCAAAAGGAGAATGGAGGAGAAGGGATTGTGGCGTGGCCATCCCCCCTGGCGGGTGATTTCTTGCTTTCTGTCTCTCTGGTGAGAGCACATGCCCTACAGCAAAAACTTCTTAAACAAACAAACAAACAAAAAACACTGGATGTGCGTGCGTGAGCCTACTCAGAATCCCGAGAGAATGGAGAAGGGACTGTGACTGTGGTGTGGCCATCCTCTCTAGGAAGGTGCTTTCCCACTTTTCCTCTGCCCCCCGCCCCCCGCAAGCACACATACAACAATAAGGAAGGAAAAAAAAAACGAAAAGAAGAGAAGGAAAAGGGAACAGTTTTCTGCCTGAGGAAAATAAGCTCACACCCAGTCCCCACAACCAGAAGTCAACAATGACAAGTGCATGGCCACCATGCAAAGGCAGCAGAAAGGAGAGGCTGTGTCTAGTCAGCTGCACGAAGGTCCAGCTGTACCCTGGATGTGGCAGAAGCCCTGATGGATCTGGCTGTAACCCCTAAACTCTGGTCTCCCTGACAATCAAGGGCTTCAGGAACGTCCTGTGACAGGAACTTGAGGAGCAGCCTGATTTGTCCTGCTATATTCTTCTCTGGAAAATGTTTGAACTCCCCTAATAATTAACGACAACGTCAGGGGCTGCCTTGTTTGGCCCCAAACCTTACGCCAGCACACACCCAACACGGTCGGTAGCAGGCCGTAGTGGAAAGCCGCCGCACCCACACGGAGGCCCTCACCTGAAGAAGTCATGGGACAGTAAGGTGCAGAGCGCAGGCCGACACTCTGGGAGGGGATTCAGCAGAGCTGAGTGCAAGGTCTGCTGGAAGCTGGAGAGAACATCCGCTGAAACTGAAATCCAGAGCGACAGTTAGTTCCAATGCCTTCTCCCTCTTTTCAGGACCTCTATAGCTGGAGACTGACGAGAGCAAAAACCAACCTGTAAAAGCCCAAACAAACAGAGCCTGGCTGTTGCTAAGCAGCGTCCTGCCTGCCTTAGGCCAAGCTCCTCGGCAGGTGTAGACAGCTGTCCTGCCAGTGCTCCCGGTCCCGCCCAGCCCCTCCCCTTCTGCACCTCTCAGTCTCTGTTTAACCCAGCACCAGCTCGAAGGTTTGTTAAGTGGCCTTTCTCAGCCGGGGTTCCTCCTCCAGAGGACACAGGAAGTTGTGTGAATGGCTGTATTTCTAGTACCATCTCCTCAGGACGGTACACAACCAGCACCACGCCAGAGGCAGGAGAGCTCTTTGCTCATTATGCACAATGGATGACGCAGGGCCTCAGAGCTCAGTGTTCCAGAACCCAGGCTGGAACCATGTGGCACGACAGCCAAGTGCTGCTTCACATATCAGAATGCCAGCAGGCCTGGGAGGAGGGACCACTGCAATCACACAAGCGCCCCAGTGATGGGAGATGCCGGCCAGCAAGGGCCTAACGGGGCGTCTGCCTGAGTAGTCAAGGCCCAGCGTGGTTGCAGGAATGAAGCCTCCGCCAGGTGCCCACTTGGAGAACACAGAAGAAAGGAGAGAATACAGGCTACAGCAGACTAGGCTTCAAGGTGAATGAGAAATTCAAGTAATGTGTACATTTCAGCAGTAAGAAAATAATCAAAAGGATTTTGGGAGAAGAGTGATAAAGAGACATTAAGCCTGATTTAAAAATTAACCGAAAGTTCTGACACTATTACTCAGATTATTACATATTCATCATTAGTGGTTTGTACTCATTCACTGGTTGCCTCAGTAAGAAGTCTTTATAGACTCTATAAATACTGTTAAAAACTATAAGAGGGACCAGCAGATGGCATAATGGTTACATTGCTGAACTCCCATGTAGTCGACTGCAGTTTGAGTCCCGGATCTGGTGGCTTAGAACTCATGCTGGGCACATATGTGTGCAGCCCAAAGTCCCAAGATGAGAATGGAGAAGAAGGGATTGTGGTATGGCCATCCCCCTGGAGGGTGGAGGGTGATTTCTCACTTTCTGTGTCTCTCTGGTGAGCACACATGCTAAAAGCAAAAAATCTAAAAAAATAAATAAATAAAAACTCATAAGAGAAGCAAACGTGAGGCTGACAGCTAGAGTTCACAGTTCCTCTTATTTAAAATCCTGCTCACTGTGCTGACGGACGCACTCGCAGCCTCTGTCCTAGTGCTACACGTCACCTAAGCAAGGCGCGGGCTCCTCACTCCGCCCAGGCCATGGTCACTGAGCTCCATGGAGGGCATGGTCTGGATGGCTTCCCACTCACTCTGCGATGCAGCAGTACGGCTCCACTCACCCTGTCCACTCAAGACTGTGAGCAAACTTTCCACCAAGGTTCCAAAGGAGTAGGCATCCCGAGCATGTCCGTGAGACGCCGGCAGAGTTGTGAATTCTGGAGACTGAAAGCAGCAGAGACGTCACAACCAGAGGAGCTGCCTTAGAAGTCACTTAGCTTTCTCTAAAGCACCTCCCTACCGTTTGCATTTCCTACACTCGAATCCAACCTCAGAGTATTACACACTGATTTACATACTCTGAAAGCTGTTAATAAATACAATTTATCAAAGATTTTTCAATACTGAAAGGGAGCAAAAAAAAGCCAGATTATGATATATGCTTTCGACTGTAACCCAGAGTAAAATCTTTGTCCTCTACCATGATCAGTATACATACAGACAATAGAAACAAAGATTTACAAAAACAATACATAGCCTCACCGTCTAGGATGCCTGGTGACATGTCCTCTCTATTCCATTCACTCTAGATTGACTTAAAGCCCACAAACCGTCAGTCTGAAATCACACACATAATGCCGATTTGGATAAACCCGAGGCATTTCAAGTCTCAGGTCTACACTTATGTTCACGGTTGGGTTCATATTTCTTGGGAAGCAAACTAGGTTTATCTTTGGAATCACTGCTCATTTACCACAGTCTGAAGAACAAATTCAGAGGGAGCCTCTGCTTTCAAATTTACTAGCAGAGAGTCCTTCTTCCCAAGCTGCGTGATATCGGCGACTCCTCTCCTGCGTGCCTGGGGTCCTGGTGAGCGGCCAGCGCACAGCCAAGGGCACAGCTTGCCGTGACATGGGTGAGGACCCTGTCCATGCCAGGTGTCGCTGTCTGTAAACAGTATCCCGGGCATCCGACAACTAAAAATGAAAGTTGGCCTCCTGGGCGGTGAGACTAATCTCAGAGACCCTCAAGGTCAGAGGAATTACAGAGCTTAGTCAAGAGACGGGAGGCTGGGACCAGCAGTTAGGATAATGGCTATGTCACTGGACTCCCATGTAGTTGGCTGCAGTTTGAGTCCCAGACCTGGCGGCTTAAACTCACGCCGGGCGCGTGTGCGTGTGTGCCCAAGATCCCAAGAGGAGAATGGAGAAGGGACTGCAGCGTGGCCATCCCCCCTGGGGGGTGATTTCTCGCTTTCTGTCTCTCTGTCTCTTTCTGTCTCTCTGGAGAGCGCATGCGCTCTATAGAGAAAACCTCTCAAAAAAAAAAGAGACGGGTGGCTGAGGACAGTCTCTGAGGTCTCAGTCTGAGTTACGCAGACACCTTCGTTACATCAGTCACCATCTTACCATCTCTTCAGGAGGGACAGCTGCTGGGTCTCTCACTGACTGAATACTCCTCAGAAACTAGAGAGAGAGAGAAGTTAGGGGAAGTAATCCATCCACACGTCCGGTGAGCCAACGTCTTACACAGTTATACAAGCAATGAGCGATGGAACCTTCCCATCAATGATACACACCACATTCACATGTTTAAAACTACAATCCAGCACCCTGGCACAGCGCAAGCCTTAGCAGAAAATAAACGTTAACTCCCTGCCCTCTACTCTTCAGAAAGGTTAGAGACAGCCTCTGCTGCTCAGAGGCATCTGTGCAGCTGTGGAAACTCCAACCCTCCTCTCTCTTCCTGCAAAGATATTAGCAAGTCCAGGCTTTTCCAGCACAGGGCAAGTCCATCACTAATCTTCTCACTAAATGAAGTAAGCCCTCAGCCTGTCTTCCACGAGATATAAAAGGTGACAGAGCCACAGGTGACACCTGCAGAGCACGCACATTCCGTCACCAACCCAAAGCTGGCTTCTGCAGCACTTGCATGTCCCCAGGACCAGCGAGGGGACCAGGAATACAAAAGGCACGCACTACACACCAACCCGCCATCACTTCCGTGAAGACCTGGACCTGCAATAACTGTGCTGAGTGCCAGAGGAGGGGCAGACTCTGCTGGAGACGGGGTGGCCGGAAGCAGGGCTCAGAGTGGGCTCCAGGGGAACAGGGAGAAAAAAGGCACTCCTGAGCTGCACGCACAGGACGAGTAGTGCAGGAGGCTGGCAGGCCACGTTGGGCCACAGGGTAGCTCCAGAGCTGAGGGGAGGTAGGGAAATGCTGCTGCAGGACTCATAAGTCATGGGGCCACACGGGGACATGTCCTGCAGAAAGGACAGCATGCTGTTGTACTGACGAGACACTGGTAAACCCAGAGAAGACAGCGGTGGGCAGGGACAGAAACAATCAGAGATGGTTTTGGCACTCGAGCTGAGCAAGGTCTGTGACAGACAAGGCCCACGGTAAGCACAGCAGCAGCACGGCGCAGAGCTGGACAGTGGGCTGAGCCCGCGCGGCAGACTGCGACGTGCCACACGAAGAGATGGGACAAACCAGAGGGTGGAAACTAGCGGGACGTGTGTGGAGCTGTCAACAGAACGCAAGCTACCTCACAGGCGGCCGAAAGGCAGCCTGGAGGCACATGCCAGGCCGGCTCCCAAGGCTCCTGTGACACTGGGCCACTGAGACCACCACTCGGGAAGCATTTTGTGAATGTGAACATGTGCCGGGCATCCGTTGAGGTGAGGCAGAAGGATAAAATAAAATAGCAGATGCACACCCTCAGGAAGCAAGACAGACCCATGCAGGTAAGAGAGTAAAGCCAGGGTTCTCCAGAACAATGAGGGCACGAGGGTGCTGCTCAGTCTCTGGGCTCTTCATCTACAGAATGAGCAGGAAGGGGTACGGGGCCCTGACGCCTCCCTAGGAATAAAATCCTACAGCTCTAAGAACATGGGCATTGACAAGAAACACAGGTCTCCAAATCGAAGGTCACACTACACCGAAGGCAAATGCAAGGCAGGAACCGCTTCCCAAGAGGGCCTCCCCGGCTTACCTCGGGTGTGGCCTGAGGAATTCTACAAACAGTCTCCATTCCTCCTAGCTTCCAGTGCCCATCTTCACTCACGAACACAGACGAGAGGCAGACATTGTTGTGTGTTAGGTGTCCCTGGAAACAGAACAGGAAGAACACTGCCACTCCAATTTCTGAAGGAGAAGTTCTAACAAAACCAATACCAGTCACCAAAATAGATGATGAGTCTCCCCATTTGTGGCATAATAAATGGAACTATGACTTTAAAGAATGAATGGGACCAGCATATGGGGTAATGGTTACACGGCTAAACTCCATGTAGTCGACCACGGTTCGAGACCCAGACATGGCAGCTTAACCTCATGCTAGGTGCGTGTACGTGCGTGCCCAAGATCCAGAGAGGAGAATGGAAGAGAAGGGACTGCAGTGTGGCCATCCCCCTGGGGGAGTGATTTCTTGCTTTCTGACTGGCAAGCCCACACACCCTATAGCAAAAAAAAATTACTATATAAATGAGGTTAGAAAAAAGGAAAAATACAATAGAAAGGCTTCTGCTACCAACTTTTGTCTAGTGAGGCAGGTTAACAAAGACATTAAGGTCACTGCATGGGTACAGTCACTTCCCCTTTTCAATGGGAGTCTGGAGGTAAAGGTTTCCTTAAATATAAATTTATAAATCTTGACAGCAGCCTAAATTATTTGCTTCCAATGCCTTTAGAAATAAAATGTATCTTTGTTCTCACAGGCTATTTTATCAATTTTTTCTCTGAATTTTTCTACATACATGTTATCACAAACCTAGATCTATCACCTGAAATTTTCTCAGTAGACAATAAAAAAAATTCTTAAGAGGAGGAAAATGGGGGACCAGCAGTTGGTGTAATGACTATGTCACTGGACTCCCAGGTAGCTGACTGTGGTTCAAGCCCTGGACCCAGTGGCTTAAACTCACACTGGGTACGTGTGCGTGCATGCCCAAGATCCTGAGAGGAGAATGGAGGAGAAGGGACTGCGGTGTGGCCATCCCCCCTGGGGGGATGATTTCTCACTTTCTGTCTCTCTGTCTCTGTCCTTCTGGTGGCGCACGTGCCCTATAACAAAAACATCGCAACCAAAAAAATTAAAAAGAGGAAAATGGAATGACAAGTATCACCAGAAATGGCCCGTGGCCCACAGAAGGGTCAATGTTGAAACTGTAAAAATAGTACAGCTCACCCCCAAAAAAACTAATAACCCAATTTAAAAATGGGCGATCTGAGTAGGCAACTCTCAAAGGAAGGCATAAAAATGGCTAAAGAGCACATAAAAAATTGTTCAACACCTCTTATCATAAGGGAACTAAAAATCAAAACCACAATGAGGAAATCACCCAGTCAGAATGGCTCTGTTAAAAAGACAAAGAGTAACAAGTGCTGGTGAGGATGTGGAGAGAAGGGAAGCCTCTTGCACTGCTGGTGGGAACATAAGTTAGTATGTCTACTATGGAAGTCCCTCACAAACTTACAAATAAAAGTGTCAAATGATCCAAAAATCCCACCCTTGGGTATTTACCCAAAGGACAAGAAATCAGTCAGAGAGGCATCTGCACATCCACCTTCACTGCACCGTTACTCACAACACAGTGCCCAACAATGGATTAATGGATTAAGAAAATGTTGACACACACGGTGGAATCCTACTCAGCCATGAACAACACTGAGATCCTGCCATTCAACACAAAGCAGCCAAATCTAGAAGTGGCTAGGCAGAATAAGCCAGGTTATAAGACACATACTGCACATCCCCACTTAACATACACCAAATGCATGCCCTTCTTCGGGGAGACTGAGAGACTCAACGGCTCAGCGGTAGAGAGAGCAGAGAGGAGGTCAGACTGTGCCAGGCAGAGCGGAGGTGAGGGAAGACGACTAACAGACACAGCATCCATGTAAGCAGAGAACAGATTCTGGAATAACGCACCACGACAGACAGAAGGAGGGCACTGCCAAACGAATACGTACCTCTACGTTAAGAAATAAAAACAGGATATTAAAAGCGCACAACACCAAGTTTTTTTTTTTGTTAAAGATAAAGATGATAAATATGTTTATATCTTTGATTCATCACACACTGTATGAATGGTCTGAAAGCCTGTAGTGTACCCCACAGAGATGTATAAATTCTATGGAAACTAGAAAGCAAAGCATGATCATATGTAAATCAGATATCATAGTAAAATTTTTTAAAAGAATTATTTTATTTTTCATTATTTTTAAATTTGCTCTAGGGCATATGCACTCACCAGAGAGAGAAAGAAAGTGAGAAAGCAAGCTGCTAAATCCAGGGCTCAAACCATGGGCAGCCATGTAGACCAGTGCCCTAACCACCACACCATCTGTTGGCCCCAATAAGGTATTTTTTAAATAGTTCAAATAAGAGGAAAGGAAAATAAGGGAAAAGTGTTTAATTATTTGGCTTTTTTTCCCCCAAACCAGAAATCATTCCAAGAGACAAGTACTTTAATATTCTACTCACTAAATCAAATACCTACAAATGTTCATATAGACAACTTCAAGATAAACATGTTTTGTTTTTTTTTTTTTTGAGAGATTTTCACTGTAGGGCACGTGTGCTC